TTATATTATCATTTACCATATCACCATATTTATTCATTTTCATTGTATATGTATGAACACCAAGGTCAGCTTCTAAATTATGTGTTCGGATTTTTTGTAAATTTGCTTCCCAAATACCACGTCTAAATGGACAGTTTATGCACATACATCAGCAGTTGAGCATTTTCTCGGCAAAACATACCGATATACTTCTTCTTCATTTGTATACAGTTTTGAATGTACTTGTTTAAATAAATTCCATCCATCCTTATTTGCTGTATCAAATGCTGGCGCACAAAATGCACCAATAAACAATACACATAATGCAATTAAAACTTTCATTATTGTTGTAATGATGAACTAATGAGAAATAAAAAGTAGTGAAAATTTCTGAGTAAAGGCTTGACGCTTACCTGTTATTATGACTAAATATGGTAGTATTGTACCTTTCTTTCAAATATCTCATGCCTTTATATATTAAAATTAATAAAAAAATGTTTGTCATTTATGAGAAGAGAATTTCATTTTTCTCTCTATCACCTTGAATAAGCCTAAAACATGTGCTGGTCGTTTTTACTTTCTAGAAAAAGAAAAGGCAGAGTAGCGTGTATGAAGTATATTTGCACTTTCACCATCATCGGTCAAGGTGCTTTTAATGCATCATCATTTAATATTTGATGTTTAATTGATGATAATATTTACATTTTTTCTCTTTTCATATAAAGATGATGATAACGAATTCAGTCAAATGGTACAGTATGAAATAATTCTATAGTCTGAATGAAAAAAGCATAATTATTTTTGAAATAAAACCTTATATCTGCATGGTAAATATAAGTTTTGAGCACTTACCGTAGATGTCCGTTGGTTGTCCACGAGACTTTCGCGGTTGGAACAATCGACGCATTGTTTTAGCTTGTCACGATGATTTGACTGCAGAACCGGTAGATTCAATCCTGACCTATATTTTTAAATATAATGTGTCTTTCTTCACGTGTCTGTGACATTTTAAAACTTGAAGGTATCACACAGCGAAACGATAGTCTAGAGGTTCGAAAA